GAAATTCAAAAGTGAGGCTATCACTTAGTAGCCATTTTCTTAGTGAATTTTATTTGGTCTTTTCTTTTATATGTAAGATATCATATTTACTTTAGTGAATTGACCAAAACTAACCATACATGAATCGTGATTTCTCATCAACAACTCATTAAATATATTCTCTCACCATAACTGAGTTAAATTCACTTACAGATTTCAATTAATATTTTTGTTTCAAAATTATATTAGTATATGATTTGGCTTTTGACCCAACCAAAATTAATGTTTTTCAGCTTCTATCACCATAGGAAATCTACCTTTAATTAATGTTTTTGTTTCAAAATTGTTGGTTGGAATACAAACTTTTTATATGTTGTCTTTCAATATACATAATCTAGCGTCGTTATGGAACAAAATTAACATAATTTAAACTTAAGTTAAGAATTTAAACCTATCAAATTGCATTGTTAAATAACTAATATAATTTACATAAACTATGGAAAGCATATCCATATGCATACGAAGTCAATGTGAAAACTTTGAGAAAAAAAAACATCTCGTAAATATTTTAGTTGATTATTAAATTTATTCAAATTTTAGTGTTAACAAATATGTTATTATGGTTGATTACTAAATTTAGTTTTATAACTAATAGAGTAAAAACTCGATAAGGAGTTTATATTTTGCATTTAAAATGAATCTTTTATCCCAAATCTTTTTTTCAACATTGGCTTGGTTCGGTCATACTCATGAAAGATAGCGACAATGTCCTCTGAGTTTTTAACTATTTCATGGTCTTCTTATGGTCTAATGTGAAAAATTATATTGGAGAATCGTATGTATCGATTCAGATACCTGAAGAAATAAAGAGAGGAAAGATGAGAATCATTAAGTGTTAATGGACAAAGTCCTTCCGTCTTAAAGTCTGAACCAACTGGAAAACATAGCATCTTGGGGCAGAATCAAAAATAAAGAAAAAAGAAACTCGAGTTTGTAAAAAAAGAACAAACTTATTTTGTTTTGGTCCGATCAACAATATGAAGATTTTTTGGGTGGTAAGAAACAAATCGATCATGTTCATGTTTTAGAGTACAATATTATGTAAATGGATTTAAGTTTCATTAAAACGAATAAAAATAATCGTCAATTGGTCTTTTGAGGCTACCCAAGATATTCACATGAACAAAGAAAAAGAGACATTAATTTTTATTAATCATTGTCACTTGGACTATGAAGTAACTTACTTGATTAACAGGATTTAAAGATGCACATAACGTTGTCATGTCCTCTTCTGGGAGTAATTTACTTGAATTCGTCGAAAGGAAGTAGGCATGGTGTTGCGCCTGTTGATTTTGATAATATATCACGGACCTGAGAGAAGAAGTGTGTTATGAAGATTTGAAAAGCATAATAATCAAATAAAGGTGTTATCCTTACAAAATATGGAGAAGAACAACTATTTGGTTATAGCTCATGCCCTTTCACTGACACAAACCGTAGGAAACACTCTATGTGAGTCTTCTCATAACCAGGTGGGTCATAGAAGAGAACATACGATCTTCAACGTCGAGGTGACTTTGCAAGGATTTTGGGATTTCCAGAAATCTTGATGAAAGTTTACGCATCTGGACATGCAAAGAGTAAATAATCAAGGTGAATATCCATAGTTTGTTTCTCTAATTGACTATAAATAACTCACCGTTCTCTTTTTATGCAACTAACCTCATGCTTTTAGGATTTTTTGCTATTAATGACACTCGCCGCAGCTGGCTGCTATTTAGATCTTGCAAAAAGGAAAACCTTCAATAACTCAAACATTGTTACACATCACTGCCCATATATATTATTATGCCATATAGCATTGACCGAACCCTTTATGTACATCATTGATTACTAATGATGCAAGAAATCAAAAGAACATGTAATATTATTACCTTTACAATAAATCTTCAGACGCATACTATTTGGTTTTGTCAAATTTGATTAATCTTTTAATCGTTGGCTCATTCACCGCCGGGTTCCACCCTGGATTCTAAGTGATTCAAGAAACAAAGTAGAACATCATCGTCTTCAAGTTACTATAAGAGATTAAAAAAATCAAAGCGAGCTTAAAGAGACAATGTTTCCATTAAAAAGACGCTTGAAACTACAGTTAGATTTAGACTAACTCCTCCAACATATATTTTTTGTTGTTAACTCTTCGAAGAAGACAACGTAGCCTTGCTCTTACTACGGACGAAAAACATTTGCAAATTTTGAACTTAGCACCAAAGCCCTCGGATAAAACAACACAGAGCAAAGATATTGCTTAGTCCATGAACACTTCCTTTTCAAAGCTGATTCATGTGGATAGCTTTGGGAAGCCTTAAATAATTCTAACATTGAAACTGTATCCTTTAGATATCCTTCCAAACTATCAAAGAAAACAGATTCTTCGGCCAATGGTTTTAACGGATCTGCAACAACCACATCGTATCAACTCTAACACGTACATGCAGTTGACTCATCAAAGCTAAGATAACTTCTTTTGAAAGAAAGAGGTCACTTCACCGTAAGACACACCATAGTCATAAGAAAGCAATAATCGGAAAGCTAAAGCACAAGTGGCCAAGTCCAAACACATCTCTTCATCCCTACGCAACCAACATATATTTATTGGTCAATGATTGATTACAAAAATCGTGAATATATCTTAGAAACCCCATGGTAACATGTTGTAATACGCTTCTGATTTCGTTTTTTGAAATCCTTATCGATTTCTAGGCTTTCAAGAGTACTCATCAATATCACAACTCGTGGAATCAAGAAAGAACATCTTTAGAAACCCTACTTTATCATCGCGATCGCCTTCGCTTAGGGTTTTAATCGCCGTTTCTAAAATAAAAGAATCCTTAAGACTTAAAAGAATCCTTAAGACTTAGTTGTTTAGTATTTATATGATTTTATTAGAGTTCACTAAGGGTATACAAAAAAAATATGAACGTGTTTATGTAGATATTTTATATTTCATAGACATATTTTTGTAGGGATATTTTTGTCAACCAATAATCGATGGTATGACATGTATTTTATATTTTTTGAAGAAGTTAATATTGTAATCAACCACTTTCAAATCGATTAGAGACTGCCACGTATGATTTTTTACTTCG